CCTAATGTATTTTTGTTTAATTACTCTAAGGAGCTAAATCATCATATTTTGTGTGTATATATGCATGCATAGCTACTCTATATCCTTCGTGGCATTGATTATTGCATATTAGTGGTACCTCTTGTAGCATGTGCAATTGTAAGTCATGCCAACTAGAATTATTAGTATTTTCTTTCTCTGTCAAGTCTAGTGACTATTTATTCTGCAAGTACATGTTAGAGCCTTACTGTCAACAACTATAGATTGAAGGATTGTCATCTAATCTTCTTACCTAATGGCCCGAGCCTTTTCCTTTATCCTCATGGAGTGATATTCCGATTATTTACGTGCATAAAATTGAGTTTTCTAATTTTTCTCTTCACATGCTTATGCAGGGAAAGAAGGAATGCTTTGCCTCGTGTCTATTTGTTTGCTATGATTTAATACGGGCGGACATTGCTATTGAACTAGCTTGGATGCACAATATGATTGACTTTGCCTTCCCATATCTCTTGCAGGTTTGCATTTCTTCTGTGCTGCTGACTTGTATCACCTATAATTCTGTGGACTTGCATGTTATTTTTATGACAACTCTAGTGATATTAGGCTTATAAAACTTACAACATTAGGTATTGATTGCCCTTCTCCCCTCCGCGACCATTTCCCTGAGAATCATGCTGGCTATCTAATACCCCTTTTCTCTAGTGAATTTGGCGTCTTCGCATAGGCTGATAGTTTATGGGTTACAGTCTTAAACAGTTACTTTGAACTGCTTTTTGGTCAATGTTGGGCTTTCTGGAGTCAGATTCCTGTTGATAAAAATGATCAATGGGGAAATAATAGATGGTCTATGCGAGTTAGTGATGCTTAGCTTGTGAAGGTTGTGGTTGGTCTTATGTACTTGTGGTATTGCATGGATTATCCGAGCAAATCTAGGTTGACTAACACATTTATTTTCTTCAGCCTTTCATGAGCTGAAATGGATCTATTTATTGTCATCTTATCCAATGCTTTCTCTCACTGTCTTCTATTTGCTTTTGTAGTTTATTCGTGAGTACACTGGCAAAGTTGATGAACTGGTGAAGGACAAAATTGAAGCACAAAATGAAGTGAAGGCTAAAGAGAGTGAAGAAAAGGAAGTAGTTGCACAACAGGTAATTATTTTGGCAATTTCTGTTGCCCTAATATAACTTAATTTTTGGTGTGGCTTTGATGAGTACTTCTGACACTTATGTCAGCAGTTTAAGTGTTGAGAATTGTTTGCTGTTGATAAATCCTGTTTCCATCTCATCATTCTTTCTTTAACAGATTGGACACTGGAATAATACTGATATAAATGACATGTGTTTTCTGTTGCAGAACATGTATGCTCAATTGTTGCCTCTTGCTTTGCCTGCCCCGCCAATGCCTGGAATGGGAGGAGGTTTTGCTCCTCCCCCTCCAATGAGTGGAATGGGGATGCCTCCAATGCCTCCTTTTGGCATGCCACCCATGGGCAGCAGTTACTGACATCTATGCAACGGTGGCAAGTTTAAGATGAAATCAGTATATATTGAGAGCAATGTAGCAGCTTCGAAGTCAGTCTTAGAATTTCTTGTGGGATTTGGAGGCCGCATTTTTTCTTTGCTTCCGGTGGAGGTGGAGATTCAAGTTAAAATAATTTCAAGTTTCCTGTGAGGTTGTGTCATAATAGTTTTTTTTTTTCTTTTTTGGTGAGGGGGGTTGAGTCAATTTTTGGGCTACTGGTTCGAGCTAGCTGATAAACTTCTGTATTCTACCATTTTTCTTGTATTAAATGAATTAGCCCAGTATAATACGAATTTTACCGACTTTTGACAGCCAGCATGATATGCTTGTCATGGCCTGGATTATTCCACTCTTCCTTGGTATCGAAACTACCTAATTAATGCTTGCCGGCATGCTGTTTATTGTGTGTATATTGTTTTAAAGTTTATTTTGACCTAGTTTCATGTTTAGCTGGTATTATCTAAGCAATTGATAATACTGCTTATTCTCTTGCACCCTGACACATTTGGGCCCAATCTATTTAGGAACTATGCGTTAACAATAATGTACCTTGATATACAAATGAAACTTGGGAATTTAATTACTTGCCACGGAGGTGATTGTAGCGGGTGCAATCTGCAGCGAAGTACAAAACTATAGTGGATTATACACAAAATATAAATCTATAATAATTAAACGGCTTTCGACTCCGCTTTTCGAACTTGGAAGGCTCGATTGCTAATTTGCTAATGTTTCATGTTTGCTCGTGTGTGGGGTAAATTAGTTTGTAGTGTTTTGTCTGTTGATGTACTTATGCTCCACACTTTGTAATATGATTTTCCATCAATAACGTTCCCCTATCGGCAAGACCCAATTTCAGTTCTCTAGTATTACCATAACCGAAATTATCAGGGGATTAAAGTAGAAAATTCGCATATTCTGCTGTATAATTATTAATTACGTATTTTATCGTTTTGAATGTAGAATAATAGAAAAATAGATTTCAATCACTAAAATAAGAGATGCATTGTTATAAAAAGAGAGAGAGAGAGGGAGAGATGCATTTAGAGAATAAAGTTCATAAAGTAACAGTTAAAGACAGAATCCAAGAAATAAATTTTCTCAAATACATGATCTATATGTATTTTTAGTTTACCAAAATAATAATATACATATGAGATTTATTTTTCTCCATGAGAAAACAAACCCTGCTTACACACACCATAAAAAGGTGTGCCACTCATTTTTTGTTGTTTTTTTTAAATAGATGGATCCCACATTTGATGTATTTATGACATGAAATTAAAATGCTTCTACAACATAAGATTTATTTTTTCCTATATATATAGGGTTCAAATTTTCTCATTTCACTGCAAAATAAATCATCTCCTGCAACCGATTTTTACTATGTACTCCCCCAAGTACATAACGAAAATATGAAAATTTTTTTTTTTTTTTCTCCATGTCAGCAGACAACTTTTGAGGAGAGAGAAATTCTTTGCAGCTTTAATATTTTTACTATTGACTTTCGGGAGTACACAGTGAAAATCAGTTGCAGGAGATGCTTGTTTTTGCGGTGAGATAAGAGATACATTTTCCACATATATATTTAGTTGTATTTCTATTTTTATTCACTATATGAGTTAGTCAATTCGTTTTCTTAGGTAAATGATCCATACTTTTAATAAAAGTCATATAAATTTTTGGTTAAAATATAGTTTACTCTCTTGAGCTTTATCTCGTGTATTTTATTCCTTTGAGATTCAAAAATGTACAATTTGTCCCCGAGGTTTATTGATGGATCTTAAAACCCCTTCCTGATTAACACCATCTAAATAATTAATTTTTCTCCAAAGCACATAAGTCACATTTAGTTAAATTCCCATAAATTTAATCTCAGTTCAATAGTTCCTAAAATTTAAATTCCTCTCCAATTTGAATACCACAGAATGAACACCCTGAACTCTACAATTTCCTCCATTATTGCTGATGATCAAAGCTCCTTAGCACTTGAGTTGCACTGAATCGAAAAATACTACTCTCCCTTTTAGTCTTCATGTTCAACTATTCACTCATTCTTCACTCAAGATGCTCTCTTATTCCTTCAACTATGTCTTTGTCTTTACACATTTATGTGTTCCTTTTTCCTTCTTCTAAATACTCTCCATAGAGGAATTTATTACGAATCCATGATTGCATCGTATCTTCTTACTATTTAAGCCTTCTCTGACCAAAGGGACAAGAAGGAGTTTCCTATATACCTTTACCTTCTGTCTCAGTAGTCCTTCATTTCTTATCATCATTATATTGCTTGACACCAAGTACAAAGATATGCTGTCTCTCTTTGATCCTTTTAGTTTGCCTCATTTTTATCGTGACGCCTTCAATCACTTGCCGGTGATAAACAGATAAATATTGCAGATATGTTTTGATATTATGGGACCCGAAAGCCTGAAATTGCGATTAGATAGAATAACATGGAGTGAGGGATGGAAGAAAAAAAAATACGGAATCATAAGAAACCACACAATTTTGACATAGAGATAATATATAGAACCTAACAAAGCAAGTGGTTGATCAGTAGTCATATCACTCGTTAAGGTGCTTTATTATGAGTTACAATTCTATGTAAGCATGGGACCCTCTTGTGTTTGCTAGCTTGTGCTAGAGACAGACTAAGTGATCTTTTACTCAGAGCGCCATTAAAGCGTACAATATAAGCCGCTTTTACTGAGTGGCCGCTTTGAACTTCACCAGGAAAAAAAAAATATGAAAGAAACCATCCTTTCTTTCAGAAGCACGCGCACTTGGACAAGTCCACTTGCTTGTCCAATATATGCTGAAATTGGTAAAATGGGTCCACGAGGTGTCTCTAATTAAACTTGAACGACAATCCATTTAGCAATGTGGTTACATCATGCATTTGTCTAATTGTACGAGCAAATCTTGGGTTCGGTTCTTCTTTGTGATTTTGTGTTTCTTGTAATATTTTCTTTCTATCACCTTTTTCTTCTCCGCCATCATGGCAAACACTAAAACTTTGATTTGAATAATATATAATAGTCCAGCAAAAAATTGAAATTCAACTTGGAAGTCCTTATTAAATTATATCTTGAATTAACAGGATCCATCACACATTAGCACATTGGATTAATCACTCTTAGTATTAAACTACTGATCATTGATCAAGGTTGTTGAAGATTTTTATATGTGGGACATATGTACGTCCTAGGTTAAGGCTTAAAAATAGGAGTGTTCTTACTTTTAATTAACATGCAATCTGATGCGAAATCCTTTTAGTCTTGAAAGGTGAATAAAGCATATATAGATTCAACCTTTAATCTCACAAAGTTAAATTTCAAGATAAGTACTATCTATCAGGTTCTGGACCATAATCCACAAAGAGAGCCCCAACTGTTATAATTACCAGCAGAACAGACAAAACACTTTATGGTATTACACATAAGAATAAGATACTGATCGTCCACCCACTGCATACTATTACTGTTACAAGGTCAAGCGATTCCAAAATTCCAACAGTGATTTCCCAAGCCTGTTTGCAAGGCACCGTTTCATTTCTGGTTCAAATTCCTAGCCATCACGGGCACTCATTAAGATAAGCCTGTTGGGTCAGCAGGACACCCTCATGCTTTTTTATTTTTGCTCTTCCTCTTTCCCCCCACCTCTTCTTAAACTTCAGATTCTTTGCAAAGTCAAAAGTAAGATTTATTATGGAGAAAATTTCTCATGCTGAAGTGACAGTCAATTACAGCCAAAAAAGATTTTCGGCGGACCCATTAAAGGCTATTGCATATCACTACAATCACCGTCAAGATAAGAAGATCACCCATTAAGCAAACAGTAGCTATGAATTGGAGATAAAAAGCTCACAAAGCCAGGGAAAAGCTTTGGAATGGTTTCTAATATTCTATTGTGTACATGGAAAATTACTACTATTCTGGCTGGCCTCTGGGCACCAACTTGGTTCAATTAAACTATGCATCAAACAGTGATCAATCTCCTTTTTCAGTCTCAACGCAAACACTGCCTCTTGCCTCTGACTCTGCCTCTCTTCAATTTGGCAAGTTCCCTTCGTGGCCTGTACCCATTGAAGGGGTCGCAGAACAAAGAGCAACAAGTGCTTCCAAGAGCCATAGCCAAGCAGAGAAAAGGCGCAGGGACAGGATCAATTTACAGCTTGCAACTCTCAGAAAAATGATTCCCAAGTCTGATAAGGTAAAAAAATTTCATGTTGTGTTTCTTTTAGTAAGTTACTCCTATCAAGTATACTATTAAAATCTTGGATTTGTTCTTGACATAAAGCAAGAAAATAGAATTACATACTTAAGTGATATTATTATATTATATGAGATAATTTGTTTCATGTGATATAAAAAAAAATAGGTAGGATCCATTAAAGAGAAGAGAGGAGAGAAAAATAAAATAAAATAAGTCTTACTTTGTTATATTGAATGAGATAATTTTATTATTATATAGAGCATCGTTAAGGTGGATATTTCAGTTCGGCCCATAGTAATTTTATGGCATTTCAATGTCTCTTTTTTATGGATAGGATTGTCATTTTTTTATTGATAGCATAGTCAATTTCAATTATAGTTTAAAGAGTTTTATAAGAGTTATGTCGTAGGAAAAGTGATTGTGTAATGTTATATAAATTTGTTTTGCGTGTCGTAGTTTTTTGTTTTTTCTTCAAAAAATGTGGGCCCCTCTAAAATGTTGTGTGTGTAAGAAATTTTGTTGTGTTATATTAAATGACAAATACAGACCCTACTTGAAATAGCTTTACTGGGTCGTGTGATAAGTCATAGATTTTAATTCCATTTTACTAGGTTGTGAGAGACAACATAAGGGGTAAATTTGTGTGGTTGCAGATGGACAAGGCAGCTTTACTAGGGAGTGTCATAGACCATGTCAAAGATCTAAAGCGAAAAGCCATGGATGTAAGTAAAGCCATTACTGTTCCAACTGAAATTGATGAAGTAACAATTGACTATAACCCAGCTCAAGATGAAAGCTATACCAAAGCAAACATGTTTAAGGAAAATATGGTCATCAAAGCTTCAGTTTGCTGCGATGATAGACCAGAACTGTTCCCCGAGCTGATCCAAGTCCTCAAAGGACTGAGACTCAAAGCAGTTAAAGCTGACATAGCCAGTGTTCGTGGCAGAACTAAAAGCATATTGGTGCTTTGCTCGAGGGATAGTGAAGAGGGTAGTGTTTGCCTTGGCACTCTCAAACAGTCCCTTAAATCAGCTGTGAACAAAATCGCTTCATTATCCGTGGCACCAAATTATCCCACAAGAAGTAAGAGGCAGAGGTTCTTCTTGCCTTCTCCTTGCGTATAATAATTTATGGGTTTAGCTTTTGGGAAAAGCATTTGACATGTTTCGTTGAAAAATGAATACTTGTTATGTTATGAAAAAGACTAATTTATTAAGGGAAATATTACGATCCTTTCACATAAGGTAATTTATGTTATTTTCTCTCACTTTGATTTTCGCATTTTATTTTATTTTTATTTTTCTTTTTTCTTATAATGGTGGGACCCGCTCATTTTCTCTCTACCACATAAGATAATTATATTATGTGGAAGGAGATTAATAAAATTCATTTATTAAATAATGTGCTTTCTCAAAATTTTCAGGGAAAAGTTCACCAATTATGAAATCCCTTTTCTCCCACTTCACACCTCGGAACACACCGTTCTTATAGAGGGGCGCGCCTGTGGTTTGGTTCAAAATCACATATGTACCTGTGATTTTTTTATCACTCATGCCCCTGTGCTTTGTAAAAAATAAAAAATCACAGAGGCATATGTGATAAAAAAGCATACCCTTTTGCAAACGACATAGGCATATGTGATAGAAAAAAAATCACAGGAACATTGGTGAACTTTTCCATATTATATAACTTGTCTTTTTCTTAACATGATAATTATTTATTTATCATGTAACATGACAAATGCATTTTCCCAATTGCTGCAAAAAAAGTTATTTCTCACATATTATGTATTTTAGAGAATATATAAAGTAATTTTATACTATTTATTTTCTGAAGTATACAGTATGTGGCAGATAAATTTTCTCATAATTTATTGCAAAATATTTTTTTTAATCTTTAGGAGGGTCATTTCACTAGGTGAAATTATTTGTTTTTATTTTGTAACATCTATTTGCCTATACGTTATAAAGTAAGTTAAGCATAAATGTTGGTTTGTGCCTCCGATTATGACAAGTTATAGGGCGAAAATAGAAGCAAGACAAAGCATGTACAAAGGGTTAATAAGTTCAGTGAATGACCACTCGTTACTTCCAAAATAGAAACATGAGCTTTTTCCAAGACTGGCCAGGAATAAAAAGGGAGAGAGAGAGAAAAATGTAGGTTCCTTAACTTAGCAAAAAAACTAAAAATATTGTTATTTTATGAATATATAGTTCTTTTGAAATTATTTATGAATCTATTGTACTTATTTACATTCAATTTGAACGTGACCATTTATGTTCAAGTTAGTCGTGACTAATGAGGCATTCACGCTTACTTTAGGTGTGACTTGATTGGTATTGACATGTGAAAAAAATTAATTTATGAACCACAAAACTTTGAAAGATCATAACTTTTAACTCAGGTATCCGAATGAGATAATTTTTTTTTTGATTCCACATAATTTTTCAAGATCTATATAATGATATCTCATTTGACATATTTTATCACTCACAAACACAATTCGAATTTGCAACAAGGTATTGTAATAGCGTTTAAACCCAGAAGTCTTCGAGTTCTTTTCTAACCAACACTAAACACGATATTTTAAAAAAGGTTTTTGAAAAAATGATAATGTAATGTGGTCCTGTTTTGGTGGTCCCAATTTAAAACAAAAATTAACAGGTGATTTTTTTGGCTTGGAAGTCTGAATTAAATATTTTTTTATTCTGCATAATTTTTTGATATTTGCACAATAGAAAATTTTCGGAGAATTATTTGTTAATATTGGAAAGAAAAAAATTAAATAACATCATCCACAAAGATAAAATATGCCATAAGAGGTATCGAATTGCAGATTCTTCTGGTTGACTTTATGCTCTGAAGTCTGAAACATGTTTTGATAAGAGGGTTTGAGGTGCTATATATATTTGTAATAATGCATCCTTCGGCGTCTATAATAGTATAATTCACCTCAAACCCTCTCATCAAAGCATTTTTTAGTACAACTTAAAGAACATTATATTTTCACCAATCTCTCTCACACTTTTATATTGTGACACTTTCTTTTCTCACAATATTATACACTATTTTTTTCAAACACTTGGTAGAAAGTATATATTTTACAATGACATTAAGTATCTTTATTTATAGATAGACTAATCCACTTTGGTGCCATATTTAATTTCATACCACGACTTACAAGATAAAGTCTCAATTCATCATGATAAGAATATCCAATAGAATAGGGATAGGGAGGTTCTAGTAGGCAGAAGATTGTATTTGGTGTTAATTCAGAAAGAACTCTTAGGCTTCTGGGTTTAAACGCTTTTATAGTATCATTATTGCAAATTTGAACTGTGTTTGTAAGAGATAAAATATGTCAAATGAGGTGTCATTGCGTAGATCTCGAAAAGTTATGTGAAATCAAATCTCTTTTTACCTAATTCGAATACTCCAGTCAAAAGTTATGTCCTTTCGAAGTTGTATGGTTAAATTGTTAACTTTTTGTAATACGTGTCAATACCAGATGAATCATGCCTAATTTGGGCGTGAATGCCTTGTGGGTCACGCCTAACTTAGGCGTGAATGGTCACGTCCAATTTAAGCGTGAATAAGTGCAATATATTCGTAAATAATTTCGAAACAGCTATAGATTCGTGAATGAGTACAATAATATTTTAATTTTTTTGTCACCTTAACTTCATTTTGAACTATTGATCAAGTCTTTCTTTCACATTTGTCAATCACATGCGACTAACACCCTTTGCTTGAACTTAAGCCGAAATTGCATAAACTCAAAGAACTTTTAGTTTATAATTTTATAGTATGCTTTCTGCTATCAATGAAATTGGAGTATTTTTGACATTTTATTAATAATTTAGTATTTTATTTATTAAGGATATGTTTTACATCTTATACAAATAATAACTTTTTTTTTGGATAAAAGTGGTTGTAGCCACAATGAATTTAAGTAATAAATTTGAAATCACAATGGATCATGTGATACAGGTAATATCCACAAGCAATGTAAGTGAAGTTTTTCCTGTTTTAATTAAAAATTGTGGTTATTAAGTTAACGAGGAGGGTTATATTTATAAATTAAATTATTTACAAATTCTTACAATCAAATCTTAACTGTCGATTTTCGTTAATCTAACCGTTATAATTTATTAGGTCATACTTATTAATTAATTATTAATTTTCAATAAATTATAATCGTCAGATTGACGTAAATCAACAGTTAAGATTTTGTTGTGAGAGTTTGTAAATAATTTAGTTTGTAAATATAATT